GGGGTGGGAGGCCAGGGGGGACGGGGGAAGGGGGGAGGCCGGGCGCTGAGTGTTTGTCAGGTTGCCAGGTGCCCGGCATTTTCGCGTCCTGGCCAGGTAAAAATTCAGAAAATACCGGACATTTTAGGTGTCCAGTATTTTCTTAATTTTTTTACCGAACAGGAGCCAAAAATACTGGACTGTCTGGGTAAATACCGGACACCTGGCAACACTACTAGCTTTCCACTGAAATCTGGTTTATATTCCCCAACCAAGCCTGTTTTACCTGTCTGACCTTGGGCAAGTAATATGACCTCTCCATGCTTCATTTTCTCCATATGTAAAAGAATTTATACAACCTACTTTTGGAAAGAATTTTAGAATCCTCAGATGGAAGGTGCAATATAAATGCAAAGGATTATAAATTATTATTATTTCTTAAGCATGATGGTATTTTTTCCACTTTTAATTTCTTCTTGAATCTTTGTGGCTGTTATATTCAGTAAGGCTCAGATTCAGCAAAATTGAGAGGACTTAAGCACATGCTTAAAGTTGAGCACATACCCAATGATTTGCTGAATCAGAAGGTACTTAAGTACCCAAGCCGTTCAGCAGAAGTCTTCAGATATTTTGCGGGATTTTTTTCATTATTGAACATCTAGAATTTAAACCGTTTCTTTTTAAAATGTATTCCATTTGTAAGTGGTTTTCACATTACTCATAAGAATGGCCATTCTGGGTCAGACCAAAGGTCCATCTAGCCCAGTATCCTGTCTGCCGACACATAGCCAATACCAGATGCCCCAGAGGGAGAGAACACAATAGGTAATCCTCACATGATCCCTGTCCATGTTAAATAGATAAATGTAAACAGAATAAATAGCTTTGTTTTGAAAACCTTTAAACAACTGCTGCTGCAGAATCTAACAATCTAATACACACAATTTCCCAAGAATAACCTTTGGGTTCATTAGATGGAGGAAACTCTAAAGGCAGATTTCTTCTAACAGAACTTTGTACTACAACTTTGAGAATAATAAACATAGTAGTAAAGGCATATTTTAGAGCACACTTGAATGGAAATGTACTAGGGTGATACATTTTTCTGTCCTCCTCAATACCATAAAAGGGATTTGCTATGGAGGTTTCAAAACAAAAAGCCTCTTTACAATATCAGAACCTTATCTCAAGCAGTAGCAATGTTGTTATTCCCTTATTTTGGAGATTACTGAGAGAAATAAAAGACAGAGGAAATGGGGACTATACTATTTGGCCTGATGACAGGATCATTGATGTTCACAGCTACGTGCACTCAAGCAAAAAGTACATTAGAAAATGGTACTATAATAAACAACCAGTTCTACCCTCCTTCCCTCCCCTCAAGTTAGAAAATGACTTGCAGTACTTACCCAGATTTGGCTGGGACATTGCCATTGATCTCTGTGGCACTGGTGTGGAAGTTGCTGCAGGATGATGGTTCATATGATTCAGTGTCTGGTTCATGGTCTTTCGAGGGTCTTGCCATGTTGTAATTTTTTCAATATGACTGCAAAAGGGAAAGAAAGGGAGATCAATTTAAAAGGTCAACCTCATGCACACTATGTAGAGTGTCAGAAGATAGGTGCCATAAAAGGAAACAGTTATTCCTCAGATCCTTCATTTATCCATCCTTCTTGATTCACCCCAATTAATTTGTAAACTACTATACTGTTTTCCTTTATTTTTATTCTTGAACCAATTCCAGCCCTCCAGTATTCTATCTGCTGGGACATCAAATTGCTTATATTTCCACATCAATCACTTTCATGAACCTGGACAAATGGTTGCATTACAATGATGTCTTTGACAAGTTAGATGTCCCCAGTCACCAGGACCTGATGAAACACTTCATAGAATACTTACAGAGCTGACTGAGGAGATATCTGAGCCAATTATCTCCAAAAAGTCACAGAAGACAGGAGAGATTCCAGAGGTCTGGAAAAGGGCAAATATTAGTGCCAATGTGTAAAGAGGAAAGAAGGACAACTCGAGGAATTAAAGACCAGTCATCTTAACTTCAGTACTGAGAAAGATAATGGAGCAAATAATTAAGGAATCAATTTGCAAACACTCAGAGGACAAAAAGGTGATAAGTAACAGTCAGCATAGATTTGTTAAGAACAAACCATGTCAAACCAACCTAATAGCTTTCTTTGACAGGATAACAAGCATTGTGGATAGGGGGACAGCAGTAAGGTTTTTGATGCTGCCTCACATGACCTTATGAACTAGAACCTAAATGAAGCTACTATAAGGTGAGTGCATAATTTATTGGAAAACTGTTCCCAAAGAGTAGTTATTGGTGGTTCATAATAAATCTGGAAGGGCATATCAAGTAGGGTCCCACGGGGATCAGTTCCGGGTCTGGTTCTGTTCCATATTTTCATTAATTATTTAGATAATGGTATAGAGTGTACATTTATAAAATTTGCAGATTATACCAAGGTGGGAGGGGTTGCAAGTGCTTTAGAGAATAGGATTATAATTCAAAATTATCTGGACAAACTGGAGAAATGATCTGAAGTAAATAGGAAGTTTAATAAGGACAAATGCAAAGGATTCCACTTACGAAGGAACAATCAGTCTCTCACATACAGAATGAGAAGCTACTGTCTAGGAAGGAGTGTTGCAAAAAGGAATCTAGGGGTCATAATGGACCACAAGATAAATATGAGTCAGCAGTGCAACACTGTTGCACAAAAAGCAACCATCATTCTGAGATGCATTAGCAGGCGTTTTGTAAGTAGGACACGAGAAGAAATTCTTCCGCTCTACATCATACAGATTAGGCCTCCACTGGAATATTACATCTGTCTCCGGACACCACATTTCAGGAAAGATGTAGACAAATTGGAGAAAGTACAGGGAAGAGCTACAAAACTGATTAAAGGTCCACTACAATTTTCACGGAATCATAGAATAGTTGGGCTAGAAGGAACTTTGAAAATCCAATCGCCTTGAGGCAGGACCAAGAAAATCTAGACCATCCTTGATGGATGTCTGCCCAACCTGCTCTTAAGAATTCCCAACAATGAGGATTCCACAACTTCCCTTGGAAGCCTATTCCAGAGTTTAACTACCCTTAAAGTTAAAAAATGTCCCCTAATATCTAATCCAAATCTGCTTTTCTGCAGATTAAGCTCATTACTTCCTATCCTACCTTCAGTGGACATGGAGAACAATAGATCACAGTACTCTTTATAACAGTCCTTTGCATACCTTAAGACTCATCAGGTCCATCTGCTGTCTTCTTTTCTCAAGGCTAAACATGCCATTTTTACATCTCTCCCCACAAGTCAGGATTTCTTACCCTTTTATAATTTTTGTTGCTCTCCTCTGGCGTCTCTCTAATTTATTCACATCTTTCTCAAGTGTGGCACCCAGAATTGGATGCAGTGTTCTGCTAGGACCTCACTAAGAGGTCTTTCACACCGCACTCCAGTTCATACACACCAGAATGATATCAGCCTTTTTTTCAATTGTAACACATTTTCAACTCATATTCTGTTTGGGATCTACTATAACCTCTGGATCCTTTTCAGCAGAACAGCCACTTAGCCAATTATTCCCCATTTTGATTTTTCCTCCCTACATATAATACCTGCATGTGTCTTTATTGAATTTCATCTTGTCAATTTCAGACCAATTCTTGGATGCATCACGGTCATTTTCAGTTATCATCATGTTTTGCAAAGTACTTGCAATCCATCCCGGTTTGATGTCATCTGCAAATTTTATAACCATGACCCACTCCATTATTTAAGTCATTACTGAAAATATTGAACAATACCAGAGCCAGGACCAACCCACGTAGAATGCCCCGTCTCAGTTTGCCAGTGATTGACCACCATTCATAGTTATTCTTTGAGTATGGTCGTTCAACCACTTGTGCACTCACTTTATAGTAACTTCATCTGGACTGCTTTTGTAATTTGCTTATAAGAATGTCATATAATTTTGTAATTTGCTTATAAGAATGTCATGTGGGACTGTGCATAAAGCCTTACTAAAATCAAGATGTATCATTTCTATTGCTTACCTCCTATCCACCAAGACAGTAGCCCTATCAGTAAAGGAAATTATATTAGTTTGGCATCAGGTGTTCTTGCCAAATCCGTGCTGGCTAATCCTTATAACTCTTTTATCCCCTAGGTGCTTACACATTGTTTAATAATTTGTTCCAGTATCTTTCCAGGTACTGAAATTACGCTGACTTGTCTAAGTTCTCTTTGTTCCTGCTTTTAAGGATAGGAACTATGTTTGCCCTTCTCCAGTTGTCTGGGAACTCACCCATCCTCCATGAGGTCTTAGTTCAGAGGTTGTTTCAACTAGTTCTTTAAGTACTCTAGGAAGAATTTCATCAGGCCCTGATGACCTGAATATATCTTACTTATCTAAATATTCTTTAGCCCTAACTATCACCTCAGCCTGTGCCTTGAGCAGTAAATCCAGCACTCGAAATCCTTGTGACTTGCCTCATATCAGATCTTGACTGCACAGATGTTTCCGAAGAGGTGGAGAAGCAGCCCTGACAATGTTACTAAATATGAATCAGGAACACAACAAATTGATAACACACTGCTATAGATTTGCTGTGTTCACAGTTCATCACACTCAGACCCCTATCTGTGTGTGGTTTTATATATTTATTGGAAGGGTGTCACGTTGCTGAATAGGAGGGAAGCAGCCAGATCGCTGCTGCAACTGGACTCTACTCTAGACCTAGTGTCATCACCTTCCTGTTATAACAGTCTCCACCCTTCATCCTAAGACTCCAGATGCCTTTTCCCTTTCAACCAATGACTGGGAGAGCTGCAAATCAGGTTACAGCTGTCAAGCTGCCTAGATGGCTTACAAATGCGAGTGCAAACCTCTAGACAAACTGTTAGAAACCAAGGCACAAGCCCCAAAATGGCTGTGAGTTCTGTACTTAGATTTAATCAACAAAATATCAAGTGTGAACTCCTCAAACACTATAATGGTCTTACCATGGAGTCACAGTCAGTCCCCTTGATCTGGTCTCTCTTGCCACCCAGGCAAACTTGTTTTTGTGATTTATGACCCTTCACACCAAAAATCTCAACAGCAATCAGGTTTCTCATAGTCTCAAGGGGCCAGTCATTTGCCCTCTATTAAAGACAATGCCTGTAGACAACCCTATAATAAACTATCTAAAGATTAATGAACTAAAAAAAATAAGTCTATTTACCAGGTTAAAGAAGGTACGCACACAAACAAGTATTAGTTATAAGCTTAAGTATCAAAAGTAATAGAAGCTGCTGTTACGTGCAAGTTCTCGATCTGCTTTAGGGCTAATCCAAGTTCAACAGGCAGGGACCCATTGCTTATGTTTAGAAATCTTGCCCTCTCCTGAAGTCCAGGCTGCATAGGAATAACAATTTATTCTTAACAGGGTTTTTTATTCCCTTTTCCCCAGCACCTAAACTGATGGGGGCAGGTTTGTGCATATCTCCTCGTCATAGGTATAAAGGTAGCAATCAGCTAAGTATATTGTCCACTAATGCTCCGCAATAGGTTGTCTGGCATCTACAGGCCTTCTTTTGTTGGAGAGGAGGTGACATTGCTTGTGGTAAGACAGTATTTCACACTTGGCAATGCCTGACTTTGGAGAGCTTCAGGGAAAACACTTTTATAGTTAGGGATAGGGTGGCCAGCTGTGAGGCCATTAAAAGTCCAGTTTGTTGGGGCTGGCAAGTTCTCTACCCTGCTCCAAGCGGCTCCTGGAAGTGGCAACTTGTCTGTCTGTCTCCTAGGTGGAGGGATGTCCTGGGGGGGCACCATGTGTTGCCCCCACCTTATGCCCCAGCTCCACAGTGCTCACTGGCCAGGAACTGCAGCCAGTAGGAATTGCAGGGGAGGCAGAAGTATGCACCATGCAAAATCGTCTGGCCATGCCTCTGCCTACGAGCTAAGGAGCCCCCTTAGGTAAGACCACCCAGATCCTAGTCCTTATCGCTCCCCCTACCCCCACCCCTGCCCTAGCCCTGAGCCTCCTTCTGCACCCAAACACCTTTCAGAGCCCACATACCCTACAAACTCCAATCCCCTTGTCCAGTCTAGATGCCCTTCCTGCACCTTGAATCCTTAATTTCTGGCTCCATCCCAGAACCCACACCCCAGTCCAAAGCCCATACCACTTCCCATATCCCAATAGCTTATTTTAGCCGAGAGCTCCCTCCCATTCTCTGAAGCCCTTATCTCCAATCCCTCTCCTGCACCCCAAAACCCGTCCTGTTCCCCTACTGTACCCCAGAGCTTGCACCCTCAGCCAGAGCTCTCAACCTCCTCCTGCACCCGAATCCCCTGCCCCAGCCAGGTGAAAATAAGTGAGTGAGGATGGGGGAGAACGAGCATCAGAGGGAGGGAAAGATGGAGTGAGCAGAAAGGCGGCAGGGCAAAGGTGTTCAATTTTGTGCAATTAGAAATTTGGCAGCCCTAGCATTAGCTTATAACATGGTGTACAGGTCCTTTATGTAAGATTAATAC